ATATTAATTGTAGTTCATTGTTGTGATGTATTATGTTGTTTCTACGACTTAAGACTACAAACATAACAGAAATAATAGTATTTCTTACCTTAAATTGTGGGTGCTGGCATTTGTGAATGATTGTGAAGAGAGTGGAGAGTTATGCTGTGGCCCTACTGGTCTGAGGTGGATGGTAGAGGTTCTGGTACTGAAGTTGATGGTTGTACTGGAGTGTTTAACTTCGTCATTCAGTCAGTCAAGTGATTCAATAAGTCAGTCAAGTGATTCAGTAAGTCAGTCAAGTCATTAGGTAATTCAGTCAGGTCGTTCAGTAAGTCAGTCAAGTCATTCAGTAAGTCAGTCAGTTCATTCAGTAAGAGTTTTTCGACTACCACTCATTTCTTTGTGATCGTCAATATGGCTTCAGAAGAGGTTACTCTGCTGCTGATCTGCTGTTAACCCTTACCTTACCTTTGATATACCTTTGAAGAATTTCGAGAGCATATCTACTCTCTGAGCCCGGCCATGGGCCAGGATCGTCTGGTGCTTGCCTGGTCAACCAGGCTGTTGCTGCTGGAGGCCTGCTGCTCCACATATCCATCACAGCCTGGTTGATTTGGTACCTGGTTATGATACTTGTTTAGTTTCCTCTTGAAGGCTTCAACACTTGTTCCAGCAGTGTTTCTGATATCTTCTGGTAAGATGTTGAAAATTCTGGAACCCCGGATGTTGATATGTGTTCCCTTATTGTCCCCACCACACCCCTGCTCCTCACTGGGTTTATTTTACACTTCCTCCCATATCTCTCACTTCAGTATGTTATGGCAGTGTGCAGATTTGGGACCAATCCTTCGAGTACCTTCCAGGTATATATTATCATGTACCTCTCTCTCCTCCGCTCCAGTGAGTACATGTTTAAGACTTGCAGGCGTTCCCAGTAGTTAGGTACTTCACTGGCTCAGTGTGAGCCATAAACGATCTCTGTATTTGTTCCAGCTCTGATATTTCTCCTGCCCTGAACGGAGCCGTCAGCACTGAGCAATATTCTAAGTGAGGGAGCACTAGCGATTTGAAGAGTGTCACCATCGGCATTATTTCCCTTGTTTTGAAAGTTCTCAATACCCACCCCGTCATCATCTTGGCTGTCGTGATCTTTGTCTTGTTATGGTCTTTAAAAGAAAGGTCGGCTGACATAATTATTCCTAGGTCTTTTACGTGTTCCTTGCGTTCTATTTGGTGACCCTCTTGAGTTTTGTATATAGTGCTCCTTTTGAGTTCTTCCTTCTTTCCATACCTAAGCAGCTGGAACTTATCGCCATTGAACGTCATGTTGTTCTCCACTGCCCACTGGAAAACCTTGTTTATGTCTTATGACCCTTTCAGGGTCTATGCCATAGATCTACGGCTTTACGTTGAGGGTCCAAACCATAGATCTACGCCATGAGCTCAGCTCACTCTGATAAGCTGTGAGCGGTAAATTTGGGCCTAGATATGAGAGAATACATCTATGTGGTATGTGTGCACCGTATAAAACAAATCCTGCAGCACACAGTGTAATGAGAAAAAAAACTGAGACTGTAATTTTGGATTAAAACATCAACTTTGCAATGTTTTTTCATATGTTTTTTATAGTTGTATTTGTGATTTCTTGGTCTCATTTGATAGAATGGAAGATATATTACAGAAATAGAGATGATGACCTCACACATCTAATACACACCAGCTGGTGGGTCTAATATATGTTCACAAATGTGGTGATATTATTTATACAATTATTACAGTATTGCATAACAGTAAATCTTTTTTTTTTTGGTTTGAATAAAAATTTCATTATGTGAATAAAAAATAAAATTGGAATTCATTTGTAAAGTCTGAAAACATAACTAATAAGAAGAGGAAATGTTAGTTTAGTGCTAGGAATGCCTGCATTGTTTATTCTGGACCCTGTTTTGAAATTGGAATATGTTGAACTTTGCACTAAATTGGCCAAATTACCAATTTCCGATCACTTTATTTTGTAGTTGAGACAGTTGACTTGGCGATTTCTTGTGCTTAATCAATAGAATAGAAGTAATACTAGTGAAATAGCTAAGAATTTGGTTGACTGGCATAATGTAATTTGCCTAAAATGGGAGTCAAATTTGGCAAAATCGCCAATGCGTAAATATCGCTGACACGTCAAAATTCACGAGGGCATAATTTTGGCAGTTTTCCATCTAATTTCATACTCTTTGTTTTATTGCCTTCAGAAAAAGATTCTCTACCATTTCATAAGAAAAAATAAAATTATTTTTTGAAAATTTTTGGACCCTCGTGCACACTTTGAAATTTAGCCTCTGGACCCTGAAAGGGTTAAGCCTCTCCACTAAGTGGCACCAGTCACTGGATGAAGCCAGGGTCAGCTGTGTAGTAGCACTGGACATTGCTTGTTGTTTCAACTGAGTATGGCACCAGGGACTGTTGGCAAAACTGCAAGCACTAGGAGTCATCAGTTCTGCACTATGCCTCCTCAGTTCTGAATGGGACAGAGTCAACAAGACACTATTGGTGCAAGTGTTCCATAGGTAAGTGTGCTTTGGCCATTGTTATGGAATATCTACTTTAATGACCTCCTTCATCTCGCCCCAATATCCCAGACATATGCAGATGACTGACATTTACTTATCTAAACGAGGAAGTGGCAATTGCTCTAAGTTATGTCATTTACCAGCTTACAGCTATATTAGCCTCAGAAAAACAATGGCAGGTCACATTTCCTCCGAGAAAACACATATGATGATGGTCTCTAAGCTCCATGATGGTAATGCTGGAACAATGGTAATAATGAAGTGTATTGGTATTCAGGGATGAGGTTGATGTCCTTGGGTGAAATTTGACTCCAAACTGACCATGAAGAACCATGTTGTAAATCTTGCAAAATGGCCAGGAAGTTTACAGCACTTAGACAAATCTCGCATCTGCTCGAAAGTAGAGGTTGCAAGATTCTGTGTGAGGCACAAGTACATTCATATCTTGGGTAAGCTCCACTTTCTTGGAATGTCTGCCCTCCATCTCATCTGTGACTTCTTGACAGAATAGAGAACAGAGTAAGATAACTCCTCTCTTGCCTAGACCCAGCCTGGATAGATCTGTCATTTCAGCAGAGCCTTCAACACAGGAGGGATGTGCGTGGCCTTACTGTTATATACAAGGCCAGTAGTCAATGTACCACACTTGGCTCCACTCCAAGGGCAGCAAGAAGTGAGCTTCTACACAACAAGACGGACAGCAAACAACAACTACACTGTACCCTTCCTAGGATGACTCGAGTCTGGAACATGTTTGTACAGCATAATGAGATCTCCGAAATAAAGTCAGTTGACCACATGAAATTGGTGGCCCATAGATGGCTCCAACTTCATCCTGTTCCCTATTTGTTTAACTCCTAACAATAAAAAGTCTTTCAAATGTGCTATTGTAGGTAACAGCACTTAGCTTGTAAATAAAGTTAGGAACCTTAACCCTTTCAGGGTCCATGCCGTAGATCTATGGCTTTACGTTGAGGGTCCAAACCATAGATCTACACCATGAGCTCAGCTCACTCTGATAAGCTGTGAGTGGTAAATTTTGGCCTAGATATGAAAGAATACATCTATGTGGTATGTGTGCACCACATAAAACAAATCCTGCAGCACATAGTGTAATGAGAAAAAACTGTGACCGTGATTTTCGATTAAAAACAGCGACTTTGGAGTGTTTTTTCGTATGTTTTTTATTATTGTATTTGCGATTTCTTGGTCTCATTTGATAGAATGGAAGATATATTACAGAAATAGAAATGATTTTGATTGGTTTTAGTACTGGAAATGGCTTGAAACTGAGCTCAAAGTAGCGGAAATGTTAAATTTTTGCCGATGTTCAAGAGTAAACAAGCAACCTCACACGTCTAATATACGCCAACTGGCGGGTCTAATATACATTCAGAAATGTGGTAATAATATTTATACAATTATTACAATATTGCATAACAGTAAATCTCCTATTTTTTGGTTTGAATAAAAATTCATTGTGAATAAAAAATCAAAATGGAATTCATTTGTAAAGCCTGAAAATATAACTAATGAACAGAGGAAATGTTAGTTTAGTTCCAGGAATGCCTGCATTGTTTATTCTGGACCCTATTTTGAAATTGGAATATTTTGAACTTTGTGTTAAATTGGCCAAATTACCAATTTCCGATCACTTTATTTTGTAGTTGAAACAGTTGACCGAGCAATTTCTTGTGCTCAATCGATAGAATAGAAGTAATAATAGTGAAATAGCTAAGAATTTAGTCGACTGGAAGAATGTAATTGGCCTAAAATGGGAGTCGAAGTCGGCAAAATCGCCAATTCGTAAATATCGCTGACACATCAAAATTCGCGAGAGCATAATTTTGTCAATTTTCCATCAAATATCATACTTTTTGTTTTATTACATTCAGAAAAAGATTCTCTACCATTTCATAAGAAAAAAATAGCAAAATTTTTTGTTGAAAATTCTTTGACCCTGGGGCACACTTGGAAATTTGGCCTCTGGACCCTGAAAAGGTTAAACCTAACCTAGTCAAACCCTGTGATGAAAAAAAGATGCATTCTTGCAGTAATTTTATCTTTGTATGTGTGGCAGTGGTGTCAGCAATACAGCAGACAGAATCTTATTTTATTGGACCTTTGTCCATGTGTAGAAGTTGATTGATTAAGTATACTATGTCCACTTAATTGAAACCTTCAATATAATGGAGTTTTTGGTAAATTGGACCCATCCCCAGTTTGTTTTATCGAACTTATAATGTATTGTCATGTAAACATTTGTGTAAAATGCTATAGAGGTAAGTTAGGTATAAGCTTGCCTGAAATGTTCTGCCAAATTTAAAAGGCTTTCCATGTGAGAGGTTTATTGTTCTCCAATGTTGAACAAACCATTTATCATGTGGAATTTGATTGATTGATACCAGCTGTAACTATTTGAATAATATTATGAGGTAATTATTAATGTTTCAGGCAGGTGGTTGTGAGTTTATTGCCCGAGCCTACCAGCTGGAACTGTTTGAACAAGCCAAGAAACAAAACTCCATTCTTGTTCTTGGTACAGGTTCTGGCAAGACCTTCATATCTGTTCTTCTTATCAAGGAGCTCGCTGAACAGGTAATATTGATTCTATTGTTATGACAACCTTAATGTTCTGTTATTGTTATGACAACCTTAAGGGACCGACAAGTATAATTATTATTCTTTTATTTTGGTCCAATTTCAATGGAATTTTTACTGTGAATTAAGCAGCATTTGAAACCTAGACACTGTGTTTTTTTTGCGACTTTTTTCCTTACAATTCGAAAAAAATATAGTGCCCTATTTTATAGGGCGTAAAACTATCCGTTCACTACAAAATTGGTAAGACTTACAATGTTCTAGTTGACATCAGATGAGAGATAACAAGTTAGGTAATCTAATTATGCAGACGTTTGAGTGAAATGTCAATAGATTGCATTATGCAAAATATTGAAATGTGTTTTTTAAGGACTCTTTTTGGGAGAAAAAAATTCAATAAAAACAAAATGGTTAAAATATATCAAAACTTTATATGCTAATTAAATAGAACCATCATTCCTCAATAACGTGTGAAAAAATCAGGGATGCTCCTATAAATGCTCTGTGCATGAAAAGGAAAATAATGCCAATAACTTATTTCTGGGTTATACATACAATGGACCCCCAATTAAGATGTCATTGGAATAAGTAATATTCAGAATAAGTAATGTTTTTGCGTCAAAATATTGGCTCGAATGTCATGGAACTGGTTTAAGTCATTTTGTGTTGAGGCCTGAGGGGTCCAGTGTGCCATTGTTTACCAGCCAGTGAGGACGATCCCACGCATTCAAACGTACATTTTAATTATTCCATTCCTTTTTAGTACTTGTAACTACTAAATAAGCCACCATGGGCCCAAAGAAAGCTTCTAGTGCCAGCCAGCCCTTTGGTAAAGGACTGAGAGAGAGGGGAGAATGTGCCTTTTAAAGTGATTCTTGAATATTATGATACTAAAGCAGTAGGAGTCTATAAAGGCTATAGCTCCGCCACCCGGATAAAGTGTAGCATTAACAGTGTAGCAAGAAAGTTATGTGATTAATCGATAGAAAAAGGACAGCACAAAACCGACTCCTCCATTGTTGTTGGAAGTATATAGGGCTACTGACTAAACCGCTGCCTCTGCTGCGCCTTCACCACCATTTGGGTAAGACTTGTCTTTCAGTGGCCCTTATACCCCAACAACAAACAACACACCGACCACTTTGACATTCTTAATGCTATATTTTATTCATTCTAGAGTATATATCATGTTTCTATGTTATTAATATTGTTTATTATGTCATATTAGATGAATTGTGCTAGATAAATAAGCCTTTTCTAGGTAGTAGGTTGGTAGACAGCAACCCGCCCAGGGAGGTACTACCGTCCTGCCAAGTGAGTGTAAAACGAACCTGTAAATTTTTTGCATGGGGGTGGGATTGCTGGTGTCTTTTTTTCTGTCTCATAAACATGCAAGATTTCAGGTACGTCTTGCTACTTCTTCTCACACTTAGGTCACACTACATATACAGTGGAACCTCAAATATTGAACTTTCTTAGGTCCAGAAGGCTGTTTGAGTGCCACTACCGAACGAATTTATTCCCATCAGGAATAATGTAAATTAGATTAGACCATTTAAGCCCCTCAAAAATACACTTATAAAAGCACTTACGAAAATACACTTACATAATTGGTTGAGTTGGGAGCAGTTTGATTTTTGAGGTTCCACTGTACATGTACAAGCATATTTATACACACCCCTCTGGGTTTTCTTCTATTTTCTTTCTAGTTCTTGTTTATTTCCTCTCATTTCCATGGGGAAGTGGAACAGAATTCTTCCTCCATAAGCCATGCATGTTGTAAGAGGCGACTAAAATGCCAGGAGCAAGGGGCTAATAACCCCTTCTCCTGTATAAATTACTAAATTTAAAAAGAGAAACTTTTTTTTTTTTTTTTTTTGGGGGGGGGGGAAACCCTGCCTTGGTGGGATACGGCCGGTTTGTTGAAAAAAAAAAAAGCGTAGAGCTGATATTAATGTCATATTTAAGGACTATCTTGTCCTGTCTCCCAATAAAACTCCTAACATATGCCAGAAACAGACCTTTCTGGAACACTTTTTTGAGTGACAGGGGACCAGTGACTCTCAAGCTGGTCCTAGTGGTATTAAAAAACAAAGGAGGGAAGTAACCCAGGATAAGGACTTGGTACCTGAAGTCTTTATGGAAGGGGATTCCCCTTCCAAACAATTGTAAACTCCTCCAAACCTCTCCCCCCCTCCCGTCTTCCATTACATCACCCTGTCTTCAATTAAAAGGGAAGTGTGATGTTAACTAATTATCTACTTTTCCTCCTGATGACAGCAAGAACAAAAAAAATTACATTTTTGGACAAACATACTTAGAAATATGATAGAAACAAGCTGATTGAGTCGCCACACCAACCTGCCACTACTGTTTGATGGTGCTACTTGCTGCATAAGTTATTCCAATTTCTTTTTCTCTATTTATTGTTATAACCTGCTCACTTTTAGCTCTAGCCATGGTTCCAATGAATAAAAAATATGCTTCTCGTTGTGTAAAGCACATACACACTACATTGTCCATGAAAGATAAGGTGGCTTTGAAGCCACTGTCGGTCACCATGAGCTCAGTTCATTCAAATAAGCTGTGACTGGTAAATTTGGGCTTACATATGAGAGAATAGGTCTGTGTGGTAAGTGTGCACTATATAAAAAAATCCTGCAGCAAGCAGTGCATAATGAGAAAAAACTGTGACAGTGTTTTTGGGGTAAAACAGTGATTGCAGTGTATTTCTGTATGGTTTTTATGGTTGTGTTCTCGTCTTTTTGGTCTCGTTTGATAGAATGGAAGATATAGAAATGGATATGATTTTGATTGGTTTCACGATGGAAAGTACCTTAAAATTGAGCTCGAAGGAGTAGAAATGTTTGATTTTTGCCATTGTTCAAGAGTAAACAAATAGCGTCACCATCCAATATATGTACAACTTGCTGGTCGAGTATTTATACAAGTACACAGTGGTACCTCGAGTTATGAACTTAATTCATTCCAGAAGGCTGTTCGAGTGCTGATACTGAATGAATTTGTTCCCATAAGGAATAATGTACATTAGATTAGTCCATTTCAGACCTCCAAAAGTACACTTACAAAAGACTTACAAAAATAGATTACATAATTGTTCGAGTTGGGAGCTGTTCGAAACTTGAGTACCACTGTATTACAATAACAGTAAATCTTCTATTTTTTGTGTGAATAAATATTCAAAATGGAAAACAAGTGTAATATAAGAGGGGCCTGGAGACATGACCGATGAACGGAGAAAATGTTATTTTAGTGCCAGGAATGACTGCATTGTTTATTCTAAACCCTATTTTGAAAGTTGGCCAAATTACTGATTTCTGACCACTATTGGACATTTGAAATAGGTAAATGGGCATTTTCAGTTTTGGGGAGACTGGAACAATGAATGAGCAGAAATAGGGCGTAAAGTGGGTGAAATCTCCGATGTCTAAATATCGCCTTTGGGTTAAGTGTATTCTAACCTAATCACTAATCCGGCACCCAACAGGTCCTATGATGCCGGATTAGTGATGGTCAACCTGTACTATGTGATGAGCTCAGCTCACTCAGTAAGCTGTGAGTGGTAAAAATTTTGGGCCTAGATATGAAAGAATGGGGCTATGTGGGTAAGTTTTTTTTTTTTTTTTTTTTTTTGTAACAAGTCGGCCGTCTCCCACCGAGGCAGGGTGACCCAAAAAAGAAAGAAAATCCCCAAAAAGAATATACTTTCATCATCATTCAACACTTTCACCTCACTCACACAATCACTGTTTTTGCAGAGGTGCTCAGAACACAACAGTTTAGAAGCATATACGTATAAAGATACACAACATATCCCTCCAAACCGCTAATGTTTCCCGAACCCCTCCTTTAGAGTGCAGGCATTGTACTTCCCATTTCCAGACTCAAGTCCGGCTATATAAAAATAACTGGTTTCCCTGAATCCCTTCACTAAATATTACCCTGCTCACACTCCAACAGATCGTCAGGTCCCATCTAACATGCTAACGCACGCTTGCTGGAAGTCCAAGCCCCTCACCCACAAAACCTCCTTTACCCTCTCCCTCCAACCTTTTCGAGGACGACCCCTACCCCACCTTCCTTCCCCTACAGATTTATATGCTCTTCATGTCATTCTACTTTGATCCATTCTCTCTAAATGACCAAACCACCTCAACAATCCCTCTTCAGCCCCTCTTCAGCCCTCTGACTAATACAGTGGACCCCCGCATACCGATTTTAATCCGTGCAAGAGGGGTCATTGTTATGCGAAATAATCGGTATGCGAATGAATTTTCCCCATAAGAAATAATGGAAATCAAATTAATCCGTGCAAGAGACCCAAAAGTATGAAAAAATTTTTTTTTTACCACATGAAATGTTAATTTTTAAATTTACACACAAACTGAAAAAGGCATGCACACTTACATGACACTTACTTTTATTGAAGATCTGGTGATGATTGATGGGATGGGAGAGGGGGAGAAAAGTGTTAGTGTTTAGAAGGAGAACCCCCCTTCCATTAAGACTTGACACCTCAAGTCCTTTTCTGGGGTTACTTCCCTTCTTCTTTTAATGCCATAGGACCAGCTTCAGAGTCACTGGACTTCTTTCGCACAACATATCTGTCCATAGGGGCCCCTGTACCTCTCGTTCCTTTATGACTTCCCTAAAGTGTTTCACAACATTGTCAGTGTAAAAAATCACCAGCACGGCTTGCAATAGCGTGTGAGGGTGATACTCATCCCTAAAGGTTTGCCTTTTTAGCCACATTCCACAGATTTCCTTTAAACTTTGTTAGTAGGCAACTTCTTCAATTTCTCTCTTTCCCCCCCCTCTGAACCAGTTTTCCAGGTCTGGCCTCTTGCTCTTGAAGTTGATCTATCAGCTCATCAGTGGTTAGTTCTTCATTGTCCTCCCCCACCAAAATCTTCCACATCCTCCCCACTAAACCTCCAACCCCAAGGACTTTCCCAATGCCACAATGGATT